AGTATTTATTTCAGTTTTATTTGTAATGATGCCACATAAATAGTAATTGTCACCTCAATGACATTTCTCATTAAAACATATCACACAAATACCCATCGGCTGGCCGGATGGCCGAGCGGTCAAGGTGGCAGCCTACTCCTCTGGGGGACCCGGGCTCGAATCCGAACAGGTCGAAAAATCCCCAGGTATTTTCGGGGGGTGATCCGTTCGGATATGTCGGGCCCAGTCCCTGTCCGGGTGGTGAGTGACGGGCCTGGCCGAACCCATAATGGGCTTGCAAAAAGAGGCCCTTTTAGTGCCCACAGGGCGGAAAGAGTTAAAAAAACGTTGTCCAACAGAAAAGTAAACTATCTTATTTACAAACCTTTTCAAAATAGACAGTTTGACCGGGCCCTAGACATTTGTCTCATTTGTTTGTGCGATGATCCGGCACTGACTGTAACTATGTGTATGGTGAGAGTGAGGTCATTCCACCATCCCCCACCCCAATGTCAAAAATATAACCAAAATAACAGCGTTTATCGGTCATATTTATGACAGTGGGGTCCCTCAGAAGGTGTAGATTAGTATAATGTAATTTTAAATTATTCTAATCACTTTATTCTTTATCTTTACTGTATATTGAGTAAAATGTAAAATTAAATCTATTGAATTAATTTTTTTTTCAATTGTTTTAGGAATCAAATATTCATGAAGCTTAACATGTGGAAAATATAAGTACTTTTTCGTTTAATTGTTAATGTTAATCAAGATGTTAATTTTTATAAAGTAATCGATTAATAAATAATTTGTCTGTTTGTCTTATATTTGTAAAGATTTTAATACCTTTATTTTAAAATTAGTTTAAGAAATTTAATTTTTACTCAAAACAGAATACCATCCAAGCGTCAGATCAGTAAATTTATAACAACCCAAACGGTTTTCGATCTATTCATCAGAGATTGTACTCGTCATAAAAACAAAATAAATACTAATTACAGGTGAAAATAAAAACTAAATAATAATAATAACAACTTCCTCATAAACAAGGTGGCCGTGGCCTTACTAATATAGTTAATCTGACTACAAACAAATTCGGGGAAATGATCCCCTATTCAGTTTTATTAACGTTAATAATAAAACCCGAAAAAACGCACGTGGCCAGCCCGTTGACCCGGCACGAACCCACGACCAAATACTAGTGTTTAGTTGTTTTATTCACTCGACCCAATGAATAAATGTGAAAAAAAAATATATATATATACAGTATACATTTTAGAAATATTTCTGATTTCTTCTTCCGAGTAAAGTTAGTGACAGAAAATAAATTCCATTTCAAGTCACGGAATCATCGTCAAGGTCTCACCCTTCTCCATGGGTTTTTTGTTTGTCCAGAAACCCTGTAATGTCTAGGCAGCATCGACATTACGGGAAAAACTGGAATCACGCCATTTCCAAAACACAAATGTTGATAATGGATTTGAAAGTTTGTTTAAAATAATTATTGTAGCTTCGAATGATGCATCATACGACGAACGCACTAACCTTGCTTCTGATGGTTTGCTTACAAGCTTCTCAATACAATCTCCTATGGCAGGTTTCTTTTGGAAACAATGTATATTCTATGTGTTATATTTACATAATGTATGTAATACTTATCACATGGAGGATGAAATACTCTTCGATATAGTTAAATTAAGTCCGTACCTAAAATAAAAGTGAAATCATAAGTAATCAATCAGCAATACGCTAATTATGGACACATAATTCCCTTTTGGACTACTTAAAACATGAAAATGAAAAATTTCACATTAATATTATTTCTTGCAATTATCAAAAATTGGATTTACATTTATGTTTTAGTTGTGGAGGCACCATGTACTGTATATCAATCTTTAAATAATTAAAGCAAGATCCATGTAATAAGAACATCTTGTAGTGAACATTAAACCCGGAGATGAATTTTTCACAATAAAGTAATTCTAACAAACGGGATTCATTGTTACTTCATATTAATTTCTGAAGCATTGTTTCAATTTAATTTTTTTTCTAATTACGCGGTTTTTAAAATAAAAATATTTAAACGTAACATATACATAAATAAAATAAATATAATTAAAAATTGTTTTGATTCACTAACACAAGGTGTGTTTCTATTTCAACACTTGGCGGTATCCCATCTTTATTTAGTTGAAATAGAAAAACACCTTGTGTGTTTTTTTGTTTTAACTCTTTCCTCCCTGTGGGCACTAAGAGGGCCTCTTTTTTGCAAGCCCATTATGGGTTTGGCAAGGCCGACAATGGGGCTGCCAGGTGGTGAGGGGCGGGGCCCGACATATTCGAACGTACCACCCCCCGGAAGATTCCTGGGGATTTTTTGATTCGAGCCCGGGTCCCCCAGAGCGGTAGGCTGCCACCTTGACCGCTCGGCCATCCGGCCGCCGACACACACCTTGTGTTAGTGAATCAAAGAAATAAGACAACACGGTTTCAGAAGATTTAAAAATATTAACGTAAAAACTAGAGCCGCCGCGTCGTCTGGAGCCAAAGAAACTTCGCGTTGCCTTAGAGTGTCATGGTGGTCTTGAATTTCTCAATTCTAACTCTTTTCGTCCTGTGGTCACTAAATGGGTTTCTTTTAGCAAGCTCATTATGGGTTTAGTCAGGTCCACAGTGGGGAGGCCGGGTGGTGAACTCGGCTTCTACTGTACTATTTTAGATGCGTATTTTTGCGTTTATGCGGGAAATTTATATGTATAATCGAAATGAGTTAATAATAATAATATTGATAAAAATAAGCGCATAGCCCAAACTGTTAGGAGTTTGAAAGCTGAAATTTGGTACACAGTTAGGGTACACCATGAGAATGAAGACTAAGGAGGTATTTTTGGAAATTCTCCCCCGCGGGGGTGAGGGAGATGGTTAAAATTTTACCTAATATCTCTAAAAAGAATATTAAAGAAAGGCATTATTTTGTCAAAAAAGTTAAAACCGAGAAAGCAAATGTCTATTTTAGCTTACTTTAAATTAAATCAAAAATCGAGACTATACATTACATTTTATGTACAGTACACAGAAGAACTGTACTGTACATGCGATATATTAATATCAATAAATACATTTTCTTGCAAAATAGTGTTAATAAATACATTTTTTTTTACTTTTCTGGCTGTAAATAACAGAGGGAAAGTATGACGATCGGTCAAAAAATGACACCCCAAGATTTTTACATTTTTGAGCTCAGGACACCTTGAAACGTCGAGAAATGCAAAAAAAATTCATGGGTTTTTTCTTTATGTATGGATATTAGTGTGTGTGGGGAGTGCACGATTTTCTTCAACGTCTTTAAAGCTCTTTAAAGCTCAATAACTCTTTTTGTTTTTGTGCTTTTTTCGAAAATTTCTGAAATTTTGCAGGGAGGTTGGTGTATTAGGGAGAGATTAGGTGTATTATTGACGCTATTAAATTTTGGTGATTAAAGGTCGAGGGGGTAGGGAGATAAAGGGGTCGTGTATATCTCCAGTATGGTCAGACTTAATGACGATTTTACTTGTTATTAACGTTTACAATTTTTTATAAAATTCATCCCTGCCTTCAAAATTATTTTTTTGTCATTTTATAATAGTTAAAAATATAAAAAGTTTAATAATAATAAAATATCTTAACAGATGGTGCCACCAAATGTTGCCCGAAAAGTTAAGCAACTCATTGCTGGATTTTTTAAAAATTAACTCATCGAATGTAATATTTCCCGCAAAAGAGGACGCGTGCTCATTCTCATCAAAATATAAAATTTCGTAGGAATCTCTCTCTCTCTCTCTCTCTTTTTTATTTTATTTTTTTTTTTAAATCTCCGTTTGCAACTTAATGGAAGGGAAAAAAGTTTACGCGTATCGTAACTGTTAATTATTTTTGTGATGCTTTCATGTAATAAGGACCAGAAACAACCATAAAATATCATTTAATACGGTATATCAAATTAAATAATTCGTATCAATTTTTATGCATTTTATTTAGAAAATACAGAAATAAGATATTTATTTAAAATTTAAGCATTTTTATTTGCATTAAAAATTTTCTGTTATTTAATAATTAGTAATAGCCTAATAGTTATTTTAAAATCAGCTTGTCATGTTTCATTTTCAATCAATACATCTGTATACCTTTTTAAGAAGTGATTAATTAAAGACTTTTTCAAATAGACAATTTATTAAATAAATAAGTTATTTTGTAAAATTTTCTTCGAAATATTAACAAATTAATAAAACAAATTTATAATTATATTTTAAATATTTATAAAGATATTCTCTTATTATATCGACAACTTTTATGAAATCGCTATATTTATTACGCTGCAACTTAAAAAAATTGTAGACCTATAAACGCTCACTGTCATCTGTCTGTTCTTCCTTAATCTCGAGAATGGAATTAGATATATGAAAGTCAAGACCAAATATGTAAAGCTTAGGGATAGGAAGCCGAATTAACTGTATATAAACCTTCAGTTTACAGCAAAGTCATGTTATTTCAATTCAAAAATTTTCCCCTGAAAGGAGATAGATAAATGATCTGCATGACTATTGCTAACAGGAAAAGTATAATATACAGGGGCAAGACACTACAGTACTAATTTGAGGTGGAAAGCATCAAATTACTATTCCACATATCAAAAAATTACATCCCGGCATTGTGACGTCACAAAAAATAATTCCTAGTTTCTTATACTTTATCAATTTTAATGATAACATTAAAATTTTCATTTCTAATTTTTAATTTCATATAATTTTTTTTATTTCTAATTTTCTTTTTAATTCCTCTAAAATTCAATATATTACTCAAACATAACACATATATAGGGTATATATCA